CACTCCGCTTTGCGGTTTCAGCAGGAATCACCACAGCCATGTGTTTCGATCAACTCCCGTGAATCCACTCTGCTTTGCCAAGTTTCAAGCGCGAATGACCACAGCCGTGCGTTTTTGCTGAGTTTCACGCAACGCTCGCGAATCCACTGATGTTTTTGACCAACGCTCGCAAATCCACTCCGCTTTGCTGACTTTCAAGCAGAAATCAAGTGTTTTTGCCGAGTTTCGCCCAACTCTCAAAAATCCACTCCACTTTGCCAAGTTTCACACAGGAATCACCACAGCTGTGCGCTTTTGCCGAGTTTCACCCAACTCTCGCGAATCCACTCTGCTTTGCCAAGTTTCCAGCAGGAATCACCACAGCCGTGCTTTTTTGCCGAGTTTCGACCAACCCTCGTGAATCCCCTCTGCTTTGCCGAGTTTCAAGCAGGAATCACCACAGCCGTGCTTTTTTGCCGAGTTTCAACCAACCCTCGCGAATCCCCTCCGCTTTGCCGAGTTTCAAGCAGGAATCACCATAGCCGTGTGTTTTTGCCGAGTTTTGCCCAACTCTCGCGAATCCACTCCGCTTTGCCGAGTTTCAAGCAAGGATTGCCACAGCCATGCGTTTCGACCAACTCTCCTGAATCCCCCCCGCTTTGCCGAGTTTCAAGCAGGAATCACCACGTCCATGCATTTTCGACCAACTCTCGCAAATACACCCTGCTTTGCCGAGGTTCAAGCAGGAATCACCACCGCGGTGCACTGTTGCCGAGTTTCAAGTTTTTCACCTACTTTTTCAGCGAAAAACCTCTGAAAAATTCAAAACATTTCTGACCAAATTTCTCACTGATAGTTCCATGAAAAGTGCTGAAAAAACTTTTAGGTTTTCCACCTGTTTTTTCGGCCAAAAACTTGTGAAAAATTGGAAACATTTCTCATTCATTTCTTCACTCATAAATTCGAATTGCTTTGCACCAACTTTTTCGCCGAATAATTTCACCAATTTTCTCACCAAAACTGAAATAGTTAACCAGTGTGTTTTAAGTTTTTCAGTGATAAAAGTGATGAACATCTTTCAACCGTCACAGCAATGTTTCACCAAAACATCAAGGGAAAACAGTAAAATCTTCTCAGGACTTTTCCTGGTAGGTTTTCTAGTGAGAACATTGGTGAAAAAAGGTTTTGGATTTTGCACAGATTTTTCAGTGGGAAATTTCAAACTTCTGTCATGTAATATTGTTGAATGTCATTTCACATTTTTCATCATCATTGCATGAGCAAAATGTCAAAAGGATATCTTAATGTTTCCATCTGAATTCCTCAATGCTGTTTTACATTTTTCATCTGCGTTCCCTGCGGAAAACAATAAGAAAACATTTTGACTTTTTCATCCGTATTAATGTTGAGAAATGTGGTATTATATGTCATATCTTGTTCACCACATTTTTCGGTGAAAAATATTAACCAAAAGATGATGAAAAATGTGTGAAAACATTCTTACTTCATTTCGAGTTTTACACCACCTTTCGCCAAAGTTTATCATTCATTTTTTATCCTTTTCCACATGAAAATTTTGATGAAAAAGGTTATGGCTTTTTCACCCCCATTCTCACCTGTCAATATACATGAATTTTTGGTGAAATAAGTTTTGAATTTTTCACCATCATTCTTGGATGGAAATGCGGTGAAAATAATCGTGTTATTCTTACAGGAAATATCATGAATATTATTTCGCATTTTTCACCTTGGCTTCAAGTGCAAAAAGTACTGACAATAACTTCAAATTTTCACCTTTTTTTCAGTGAAAAATGTGTGAAAAACCGGCGCAGTTTTTCACCAATTTTTTCAGTGAAAAACTCGAAATGTTCAACCAGTGTATAGATGTGTTCTTTGGTTTCCAACCAAAAAAATCAGCAATTTCAGGCTTGCTTTATATGGCAAGAATTAGACACACCGGCATAATGGTGGATTTTGCCTTTTGTCTCCACCGCCTTCGCCGGTAGACAATCTCACAATCCTGAAAATGAACTCTTGGCATGACGTAGCACTGGAAAAGTGACCAGGACAAATTTCAGGTCAATTACTTGCCTATAGCCATCACACCATACCGACAATAGGCTCTGCCATAGCTAAATTAAGGTCATTTGCATCGGAAAAAAGAGATTTGTCTTACTACTTCATCAGGTACTCCCTGAGGAGTAATTATTTCAGAGGCACAATGGATGCAGGGGAACCTGCCGATAAATTTCGAAGCCCTGCGCCAGAAGATGCCCCGGCATGGGGCCGGCAATCAGGAAAGTGTTGTATCACCGAATACTCGGACACTCGGACCTGACAGAAAAATGATCTTGTTTGGCAACAAGTGGACCGTTTTGCCTGAACTAAAATGGTACACCCCGTGAACAGATGGATCCGAATCTGATTGGATACTCAGATTTTTCTCAGAATCCAAGGACCAAAAGATTATCCATCAAATATTGTTAAGTGTCCGGAATCCCGGTCAATGATAGTACCAGGATTCCGGATTGCTCAAAGGAGGGCTATATTTATTCCAGGATGATTTCATGGCAGCCTGAATCACATTCACCTGCCCGGCATAAGGCTCGCGTTCTCCAGGTATTTCAGCCTTGAATACCTTAATTTCCAAGCATAACTTTCACATCTGTTCTCTTTACATTACATAACTTGTTCAACTTTCCGTACATGTATTGCATAATTTCTTGCGACATTTTCAGAGTAGCCTTGGGGCCCCGACTGACGACCGGCAAATTGCATTGGAGCCGCTACTGCAAATAAATCTTCTCAATGTAGTTTGTTAGAAAAACTGGATAGTTGAGCTGCACATACACATAGATCTCAGTTCAAGACTTTACCCAAAACTTCGCGAGAAATCTGCAAAGTTTGGTAACACAGTCAGCATGATTGGGTCAGCATCAAAGTCGATGAAAGGGAGAAAGAACAAAGAGTGTTTGCACATTGTTGACATTGGAAGTGCCTTGTGAACTGCCCGGGGAAGCACTGGGAACATGCCCTTGAAGCAGTCAATCACACATGCCTCGGCTTTTGCCCGCAGTGTAATAATCAACCCCCTGGAATGCTGTGTGCTCCATTGGCATCTTGTAGATTCATGTGCGGATAACCACCCGTACATTACTACATGTTTGTCTTCAGTAGACTCGTTCATCTTGTGGACCATGTGAGTATAACACCCCCCTCCCCCCCCCCTCCCCCCCCCCTCAAAAAATGCATTTGCGAAGCTCGAGTTTTTTTTCCCGGTTTTTTTTGCTCCCTTTTCGAGACTTGCCCTGAGGAATATTTTGGAGTTTATTGCCAGGATCATGATCCCACAGTGTTTCAGCGTTTCAGGCACATCGTTTAGTAAGATAATAAAATTAGTATCTACCGCTTCTGGTTCACGGAACTGCGACAGGGTGGGAAATTTGGGGCTCACGTAACTCGGCTAACAGGGGATTTCCCCCTGCGGCACCTTCCCGACCTTAATCCACTTTTTGTACCTAGTGCAACAGTTTTTTTTTGGTGGGTACCCCTTGCTCTGATATTTGATGCGGTCTGCGCCTATCCAACATTCCCCTCTGACGGGATCGTTGCTTGTGGCGGGAAAGAGAAGGCCTTGCCTTCACCTGTGGCAGGGAAGACCACCTGGTGCACTGTGTACCGCACACCACTGCATTAGTTTAATTAATAGTTATACATGCAAGTCTATCTGATGCACGTGCAGTAAGCCGGGGTTCGACTCTCCGCGTCCCACATGAACTTGTGCAGCAACATTATTTTTGGGAGTCCTTTGGACGGGAAGACCAGGGCGGGTAGGCAGATAAAATGGAATTTCGAGCGGAGATGGCAAGCTACGATTTTGCGGCAGATAGGTCGCTTGGACTGGCCTCATCTTGTGTCAACATACCCACCTCACGAATAGTTGATGTATTCAAATTTGAGCTGAGGATACGAAGTGGGGTGTGGTGTACGGCGTACCGCTGCATTAGTAGTTAAAGTTCGAAATTGATGGGCCGGGGTTCGACTCTCACATCATAGATGTGTTTTTATTGCGGTGATTTGCAAATATGTGGTAAGCAAGGAGAGGGCAGGTAGGTCGGTCGGATTTGGGGTGTACATGAGCTAAGATTTTTCTAGATAGATCAGTTAAATAGAGACCGCGACGCGCCGCTCGCATCAGTTGCCTTATCAACCCCCCTATCCGTGATCATATATCTACCGTGTTTGTACTTGGTATCAGTAGTCTTCCTGTACCCCCCGCGCTCGTGTCCCCACGCTCCGAATACAGTTCCCAGCGACTCACCTTGTGCTGTGACCTCAATTCAACATAGTTGGATTTGGCCGCAGTGCTGCGTTCTGTCAAAATACCCACTCCGCATAGTAGCAGATATGCTCAGGTTCGAGCAGAGGATAAGAAGTGGGAAGTGGTGTATGGTGCACGGCTGCATTGCGTTGGGGTATTTGTGATATGCATGCAGCACGTCCGGGTTCGACTCCCCGCATCCCACTAGCAGGATGTTGTAAAAACTTTTATTCGGGGGATTGGTACGGATTGGAGAATAGGGACGGGGAGGGGGAGTAAGTAAGATAAGATAAATTTTGGGTGTTGATAACGAGCTACGATTTTACGGCAGAGATCAGTTGGATTTGGTTATGGTGCTTCTTTGTGTCAAAATACCCACTCCGGAAAGTAGCGAGTGTATTTAGATTTGAGCAGAGGATGAGAGGCGGGACGTGGTGTACGGTGCACCGCTGCATCGCCTTATCCAGCTCATAGCATTGCGTGCAGCAGGCCAGGGTTCGACTCCCCGCGTCCCACATGGCTGGGATCGCAGACATTTTTGTTTCTTCGGTTGATTTCTATTTTGTATGAAGCTCCAGCTTAATGCGAAAAACTTGTAGCGTAGGTGAAGTTAAATGTAGCGTACTTGAAGTTGAAGATATCAAGGGAAAGCTCGTACGTGAATCGGCCGAGAGGAAAACGAAAAGGATGCTGGGACGCATGACCTGACCCCGAGTTGAACGGGATCATCTGCGGAAAGTACCCACAAAGTCATGTATGCGTGGCAACAGCACTAACCGTTGTGCTATCAGGTCTTGTTGTATAGTGTCGATTCACAAAATATGTGCCCTCGATGAGCCCCGTGAGCTGCAGTCACACCGACGATTATCATATTTAGGGCCCACCCAGGTGCAATTTGAACACCCAAGTGTTGAATTGCACATAGGTGGACCTGAAATTTAATTTACTTCTAGTACTTTTGGTCCCACTGATTTTGTAACCTAAAATAATAGAATAGAATTATGATTTGGCTGCCATGAAACCCATTCGAAAGCCTACAATTTAGATTACACAAAAGTCCAACTGAGATTGAAAACCGAAATCACACTGATGATTATCATATTTTGGGTGACCTGAAACTTTATTCGAAACTAATCCGAGAAATTTCCCATTGGTCTGGGAAATGCCGAACCAATGGGAAAATTTGCGGACTTGTTTCGAGTAAAGTTTCAGCTCACCCAAAATATGATAATTGTTGGTGCGATTTTGGTTTTCAATTTCAGTTGGACTTTCATGTAATTACGAGTACTTAAGTAATCGTTTATGATCAATTGACATGAGGTTTTTGAGGTGTAGTTAAAAAATGTCCCAATCTAAGATTGCAATGTAAAATAGGGACTGTGCTAGTATTTTTAGGGGCTGTGCCGAAGGCCCTTTAGTGGCTGTCCTTTAAATCCCTTTCATTTTTGTGATCTCATAGTGGCTGTGTTTCAGCTTCTGTAATCATTCCTCCAAATATGGGATGGGTTCGATTCTCGCAACGGTCACTTTTATTTTAAATCCGGCCTTACAGTATTCCAAACCGTAGACTTAAGCTGCAACACTGAACAGGGAATGCTGCTTGCAAACAGTCAGGAAATAATACTGGGTGCAGATGCAATCCGTGTGCTACCGGGTCTCTCTTGGTTCGAGCTCGAAATTGACTGCAGCGATCGCACTCGGTCACGGAACTTTGCGCAAAGAGCCTCCTGAAAAGGAACTTGAGAGGAACCTAGATTTTGTTGAAGATGGATAATATCCTCCGTCCAGAAGATAGATTGAGCATGGAGCGTGAGTGCTGCACTCCACGATGAAGGTTGAGATGACCAGTCGGGATTGATCCGAGGGGTCGAGTCGATGCCGTGATTGGCCGTCGCCTCGTCTTTCTCTAAGTCCACGACGACATATTCGCAATCTCAGTCATAGTCCTCGACCCCGCCCCCGACGTTCCGGCACCGCGCGTCTGCCTCCTGCGCACGCTGAATTGCTGGAGGGAAGCAGCCCGAGTTGAAGGAGCTGAAGGAGAAGAAGGATTGAATGTGAGGTGTCGCGGGAGGTGTCCCATACGTCTATCGGTGCGTCTGCCATCCCTTTCTCTTGGGATTGCGATTAGAACTGAATCAAGCTAACGAATCTGGGTGGCACTAGGCTTCATCACTTATTACTGGCCCTATACCTGACGCCGCCGGTGGTGCCGCGGAGCTTGCTGTGGGCGGCGCGAGCACCGGCGCGTGCCCGCAGTCGAGCGGCTGGCGTTCTAATACGTGAGAGCGAGTGAGCGGGTGAGCTCCGTTCCTTGCTTCCATTCTTGTTGTTCCCTCCTTACGGCACATGATACATTGACACCGAGGCTGAGTTTTTCTTACTTTCTTGCAGCAGGGAACAAACAGTACATCCTCGGCGTCAATTTTGGGCTCATATTCTATCCAATCGACATCGCGACCGTCGCGATCCTTATGTGCGTCTCCCTCTATCATCTCCTTAATTTTTCCCTCCCCTCCTTCCCTTGTCTTTTTCCTCACGCTTCTGTCATTCGTGTCTTATTCTCCTTCCCCTCCCCCGCCCGAAACACGTACTCCCCGCCCCTCTACCTCCGCGCCTTATATTCCCGCCCCCGGGATTTCCTCTCCTTTTTTTCCGTGTTCCGTCTCGATTTATTCCCGCGCCCCCTCTACGCTGGTGGGCCCATGCAGTGGGTCCATGTAGCACCGTAGCACCTCTCAGCTGGCGGTAGGTAGTCCCGCCTGTCCGGGAACGCGAGCGTGCGGGCGTGGGTGTGGGCTTATCGCGCCCTTGCAGTCATTCGCACTGCAGGAGTAGTCACCGCGCACGCACCCGCTGGAGGTCCCATCCGAGGGCGGGGCTGGTACTATCGTAGTCTCGGCTCCGTAGGCCGTGTCGTCTCCGTGGCCCGTGGCGGGCAGTATCAGCCCTCGGGTATTTGCTTGCGTGCGACACGCGTTCGTCTTTGGTGTGCCACATGCCTGCGCCCCCCGCCACTCGGTCTGTTTGTTTGGCGGTGTCTCGGTGTCCCATGCACCAACTCGTCGTGCGGTCGTGCTTCTTGTTGCGGGTCGGCATGTATATGTCCGTCTGCGCGAGTCTTCCGCGGCGCCGTGTGCGTGCATACACAGGTAGAAGTGGAACCGGAGGTGGAGGGTGGTTATGGCTTCGTAGGGCTATACCTCCCTGTGTCGCCTTGATTCCGTTGTCACGGTGCGGGGCTTCCGGGGTGCGGCGCGTTTGTTGCACAAATGGCGGGAGCGGGTGTCGGGTTCGGGGCGTGTGCCGCCTTCATCCGACGCGTCAGGCTGTCGGGGCGTGGGGGGAATACGACGTCGTTGTCGGGCCGTTGATTTAGAGTTTCTTGGAATTCTCAGCTTCAGTTCTGATCGGGTGGGGTGACATTCTTTCCTTGCGCTGCTAGTCCTGGAACCTGCGTTGATACGGGGAGGGCGAGTCGGGGAGTGTGAGTGCGAGTGCGAGTGTGTATACTTCTTGCTTTTTTTCGCTCTGCTTTCGGATTGCGGGGGTATTTTTATATTGCTTTGGGGACCGTGTGTATGTCTTCCTTCGCCTGCCCTGTTTACTCTTCCCTTGTTCCCCTTCTTTTCCCCGATCGTGCCGAGGCAAATCGTGAGTTCCCCCTTTCTACCTGCGGCTTGAGGCACCTGGCTACCCTTCCATTTCTTCCTTCCTTTCGTCTTAACACTTAAGTTCTTTCAAGCTGACTTCCAATTTTTTTCCTCGCCGCACGGGACGAACGGCAGCCTCTGGTACAATTCTCGGCGTCGAATTTTGCGCTTACGTCAGCTTCTACCGCGACCATCGCGTGCGTCCTCCCTGTATGTTTTCCCCTCGTATTCCCTCCGGATTCGTCCCTTAAGTTCTAGATTCCACCCTCTATCATTCTCCTCCCCCCTTTCTGCAGGCTTCCCTTGTTGTCTCAGCCGGGTTCGGCGCCGGGCTTATCTGAGGCCGTGCGCGTTGAATGGGGCCTTTTTTTCTTCTTTCTTCAAGTTGCTTTTTTTCTTCGTCCAGCCTTTATGTTCCACATGCTACAATGTACATCATGGTGTATGCTCTTCGTGCGGCTCCGTCTCCGTATCGATGGCCCTGCCCAGGTGGCGCCTACATTTCTGCTCCATGTCCAGCGCTGCACTATTGCGGTGCTCATTCCGTTCTCGGTCTGACGGCGGTTATGCCGAAGTCGACAGTCAGCGTGACAGTGTGGGAAGCAAGAGCATGCATACATTACACAAGATATTACTTCGCTTCGGTCCGGAGATTGACAGTGAGAATGGTATGTTCTGCTAAGGTTTCACAACTGATCGCAAGGCGAGTCCACAAAGCCGGAAGAAAAGAGAAAACAAAATTGAGGGAGGTACTACGAGAGTCGAAATAGCACTCGGAAGTAGACCAGTCAGGACTCAGGGACTGGTTCAGTAAAAAAAAGCATTGAATTCTAATACAGAGCGAAGTTTCGGTCTAAATTATCCGCGTGAGGAAAGTTTTCAACCATGTTTCTGCCGGCGGTCCGAGGCACCAACCGGCTTCAGCGTGGGATGACTGACTTGAATGGGTGCCATTCCTGCGCAAACGGAGAGGCATTCGCAAGGATAATTCACGCAGAGCAAGATCCAGTCAGAGCATTGGAATATCCGCCCCAGCAGCCCGAGAAGTCCCAGAGGATGATAGATAGCTTGAAGGGCTTGCAGTTGAAGAAAGCGGGGAAGCACACACCGAGTTAAAGGCAGGAAAATTGTGCCCCTTTATAGATGGTAAATCTTCGGGGATTTCTCTGCAGCATAGTGTACATTTCTGTGGAATGGCTGCGAGGGACTGTGCCTGGATTGCGGGAGGTCAGCTGTGAGCTAGAGGACCAGATGTTGTGTTCAGATGGGGTATCAAATTCTCACGAGCAGTATGGGTGGCTACAAACGAGAGCAAGAGAGATGGGGATACGTGCATGTGGGGTACAAACCACAACACCTACCAATGAACGAGAACCATCTCGTTAAAGTATGGTTAATGAAAAATATAATATTTTGATGACTAACTTTTCCTGGCCTGCGGTTGGGTCAGCAGCAAGCGAGCCAAACTGAAATGGGGGGGGGAAAGCCCTCGATACGCGGTTTGCCCGTGCCAATTATCATCTTTCCTTCCTCATCTCTCCGTTGGCAGCTCCCGAGATCCGTCTGTCTTTTTTTGACCATCCGCAAGCTAGCTTTCGCCACTGGTCCTCGTCTCGGCATGTTCCGAGACCCAAATCTAGGCTCCTTGAAAACAGTTGCTATCTATACATGTGGTTTTTCACTGATGAACTGCTACTTGTGTACAGTGTGCTAAATATCCGAACGCAAGCTAATAAAAAAAGAGCACTGGCAGCATGTAGTATTTAAGGTATAGGAGTTCCGACACCGGCAATCAGGTAGGGCTGAGGTTACGGGATTGCCCGGAATCCACTTGTGGAATTTTACACCGCTTGACTTGGCATGGTTTCTGGTGATCCGATCGCTTCGGCACAACAGTGGCGCCTCACATGCCGCTTCCGGATCAATTCATATGCCTGAAGCGCCGGCCGAGCTTGTATGGATGTGAGGTGCACTCAGATCTGTTTGGGTAAACTATTGGTTCTTTGAAAGATATCGAGCGCTTGACACCCAGGTGTAAAGACAAAAAACAAAAAGGGACATAAGTACGAGTTTGCCGGGCCGTGCCGCGGCCATCACACCCAAGTCTAAATCATAGGCTTTCGAATGGGTTTCAGGGCAGTCAAATCATAATTTTATTCTATTACTTTAGGTTACAAAATCAGTGGGACCAAAAGTACTAGAAGTAAATTAAATTTCAGGTCCACCTATGTGCAATTCGACACTTGGGTGTTCGAATTGCACCTGGATGGGCCCTAAATATGATAATTGTTGGTGTGAGTCAAGCTCAAACAGTCCCAGGTTCAAAGTGAAGCCCAAAACAAAAGTGATGGTACTGGCACTGCAGTGGCCCATCCATTTTGGGCGGCGCAAATGCGGGTCCAAACATGTCTGATGTTTTGCTCTGTTTTTAGCGCGGAACTGAAAAGACCGGATTTTTGCCGGACTTGTTTGTCCGGCCAGTGCGGACTGAATATTTTCACTTCTTCTGCGAGAAAGGGGATTCAAAAAACAGTCTCTTTTGGACAGATTTTTCCGTCCCGCACAGAAATCATTTTGAGCTCGGCAAACAGCGATTGAACAACAGATTCCTTTGTTCAACCTCTGTTTGATGGTCAAAAATGATGTCTTTGTGGGTCGTAAAATGAGTCCTAAATATGATCAATTTTCACTTCATGTGTTGCAATGAAAAAGAAATAATCTTCAGTCGATGTTGAGAAAGAGAAAATCAGGAGAAAAAATCGGTTCTTTTCAGTTTCGCAACAAAAACAGAGGGAAACGGCAAATATGTTTGGACCCCACTTTGGGTTCCAAAATGCATCGGCCACCGCAGTGCGGAAAGAATAATGCTGCTTATCTCGATGTTGATTTGAAGAGGGTCATTCTGAGTCTAGATAATAGATAGGTATCCCTGCCTCCAAATAGACTCGCGTCCAACTTGCCTGAGTCAATTTTGTTTTCAACTTGACTCGGCGTCGGAACATCGGGTCCGAATCTGGGTTTTTGGGACTCCAATAAATATCGCGGAGGATTTCGGAGGGAATTATTCTGCTCAGTACCTTGGAGACATCCTCCAAAATTAAATTACCAGAGATTTCGGCGCCTCGAGCTGAAATCAGACTTGAATTGGACGAATCGGACCGAGAACAAGGGTCACATCAGTTACACTGGCAGTAGCGTGACCACCAACCTTCCTCCTCCTCGTCCACCTCGCCCGATGGCGTTCTCCACGACGGCGACGAGCAACGCCGAGACGTGCATGAGCCTCGCCATCTCCTGCGTCCCCGGACCCCAATCCCAGTCCTTTGAGGTCTGCCTCAATCCCGCGCTCGGTCTGATGCGCTGTGCCACTGACTCGACTTGCTTTGTATTCTGTGCAGGAAGTACGAATGGCAAACTACCTCGAGTCCTACCGCGCGACGGGCCGCCCACCAGCGCCCTGCCCGCCATATCCTACCGACCCCGCCGCCCGCGCCGCTCAGCGCCTCCCCCCGCTCTTCGTCCCGACGCTCTTCACCGCGCTGGGCGGCCCCTCCGCCCCCGCGCCCTCGCCCTTTGGCGCCCTCGGCGCGCCCGAAGCGAGCACGAGCACCGTGACGCCGACGCTGACGGACCCCGCCCGCCTACCCGCCGCGCACGCCTTCACCCAGCCCGTGCGCGCGCCCGAGGGCGAGTTCTTCGCGAGTATCGCCGCTGTGCCTGAGTACGCGCATTGGAGCCACGATGTGCGTCTCTGGACTCCTTTCTATTCTTTATATCGACTAACTCGCGCAGGAACTGCGCATGTACGCCTACGCGCGCGGCGCGCGGCAGCCACCGCCGGGCACGCCGCTCTTCCCATTTGTCCAAGGCCCTGTGATCGCTGGGCTTGCCGCGCCGCAGCAGGCGGCGCTCCCGCAAGACAACGGCGGCGACCAGTTCGTGAGCATCTCGTGCCGCCCAGAGTTTGCGGGGCACAGCGTCGAGGTGCGTGCTTTTCCGTATTCGTATGCAGGCCGGAACTGATTTATTGTCTTGCTTCCTTCCTTTTTCTCCACTCATCCATCCTGTTCTTTCCCGTTCCGCCGCTCCTCTCTGCGCTACATCTGAACGGCTTCATTTCCCTGCCGTCTTTCCGCCCTCGTTCTTCCCTCCTCTCCTTCTCCATTGCCTCGTGCCTTTCCTCCCCCGTCCTCCCCCGTCCTCCCCCGTCCTCCCGCCCTTATTTCCCGCTCGCTCGCTCGTCCGCTTTCCCCCCACGCATCCTCTGTCTCATCCCACCCATCCCGCCCGCACTTTCCCTTTGTTTCATTCCCTCCCAGGAACTCCGCCTCTCGTTCCTCCGCACCGGTGCGGAGCTCACCTCCGCACAGATCTTCGCCGGCTCCACCCCCAGCACCAATCCCCTCCTCGCGCCACCTCACAATCCCAATCCCCTCGCCGCGCAAAATCCCCCACAAATACAAATACAAACTGCGCTCCAGCCGCGGAATCTGATGTTCGGCGCCTCCGCCCCCGCCCCCGCCCCGCCCCCGCCCCCGTGCCCGTGGGTGGCTTCTCGTTCGGCGGCGCTGCACCGCAGCCCGCACCGCTAGCGCTTGGCGGGGGCCGGGGCGGGTTCTCGTTCGGGGGCGCGCCGGCACCTCAGGCTGCGGCACCTGTGTTTGGTGCGGGCGGGGGCGGGGGGATGTTCGGCGGTGCAGCACTACAACCGCAACCTCCTGCGTCGAGTCTGTTCGGCGCTCCTGCACAACCGCAAGCACCGGCGGGTGGGATTTTTGGTGCACCCCCCGCGGCGCCGACCTTCTCGTTTGGGGGGACGGCTGCGCCGGCTAGCGGCGGGGGGACGGGGTTCTCGTTTGGGGGGCGGAGGGGGTAGATGGGGTGTAATCTGTTGAGAGTGTTTGTATGGTTTGTGTGAGGAAAGGTGGGAAGCACAGGGACGACGGAAGACCGAGTGGCTCGTGAGCGAGGTGGGGAGAGAGAGGGTGTATCTGCGTACGTGCGTAGGCGCGTTCGTCTCGGTCTGCTGTCCCGGAGAAGGGAAGTTGGCGGAGAAGGGGGAACGGGGAGAGTTGGAGTTGAAAAGAGAGAATGTGGGGAGGGGTAGCGTACGCTCTGCTATTGTGCTGTGTTTTTGTGTTTCTGTTTTTTGTGTTTCTGTTTTTTGTGTTTCTGTTCCTGTTTCTGTTCCTGTTGTTGTTTTTTCGTGCCGCGGTTGGTCCTGGTCGATCCAGGTGGGATTCACGTGTAATTCGCGTGCGGCTTGGATTTTGAGAACGGGAAGGGTTTTAGTGTGGTGCTGGGATTATAATTGTGAGCGTGGTTGGGATGGGGTGGGTTGGATTGACGCATGTAGGAATCTCGTTCGACTCTGAGTTGGGGGAAGTGAGCTAGTTGATCTCGGTATTGCGGAGGGAATGTATGGCCTGATAGCATAATGGTTAGTGCACCTGCTCTTAACGATGCATATATGTGACAGTAAATTTACGCAGGAGATCTCTGTTTGACTCGGGGTCAGGTCGACCTTTGTTTTTCCTACACCGTTCCAGCTTTATTTCTCTTGTAGGTAGAGTTTGCAGTTGGGCTCACTTGTTTCGGAATTGAAGAGGGATGTAACGGCCTGGTAGCACAATGGTCAGTGCGCCTCCTCTGAATACTTGAACATAGTAATATAGTACTCATGCAGGAGATCCCCGTCCGACTCAGGGTTGGGCCGCACTTACCTCCTTTTACTTTCACTTTCACTGTTTCACTTTTCTTTCTTCTTTCTCTCTGTCTGGCCCGCAGTTCATTTCAGGATGTATGGCCTGATAGCACAATGGTTAGTGCGCCTGTTCTTATTATTGAGCCACGTCCACGATGCAAATTTAGGCAGAAGATCCCCGTTCGACTCGGGATCAGGTCGATCATGGTTTTTCGCGCGGTTTTCTCTCTTTTTGTTCTTTTCGGTAGATGCAATGGTAGACGTCCAGTTGGGCTCATTAATTTCGGAATTGCAGAGAGGGTGTATGGGCTGATAGTATAACGGTTAGTGTGCCTGTTCTGAATTGGCTGCAAGTCTGTATTCCATGCGGGAGATCATCGTTCGACTTGGGGTCAGGTCGGTCGTCTTTCTTCGTACGCAGTTCTCTTTTTTGTTGTTCATGATTTTTCTCTCAATCGGTCTTTTGCTTGCAGACTCAGTACTCGCCCGCTTTAGAACTCTCGAACTTTTGAAATCCAAGTTGGTGGGGTCAGCACAGCAGATGTTGAGCGTGCGAAACAAAAATCAAACAAAGCTACACCGGGAAAATCGGGGGCGAGGAATATCAGAAGGATGTCAATTTCGGATGCGGGGATTCGAACCCCGGTCTGCAGCATACATTTTTGGTTCGTCTTGAACAACAGCCTTTGTGTGCCGTGCGCCACACCCGATTGCTACTGTTGAACGGGTGCTAGCAATCCAGTGTACACCAAGACATCTTGGTACTTCGTGTGGTTGGTGTTGAAATTGAACGTCCCCGGTGTCTGATGATTGTATGCTACACCAGTGCTCCGAAGCTTCCGAATCCCCGGGTCGTTTCATTCCCATCAGCTCATCCAGCTGTTGTGGCCCCGTGGACGGGTTGGCCCAAATGATATACATAGGTCCATTGTCGTCCGCTGCAAGAAATTCGTAAATATTCGTTCTACTTTTCGGTCGGGGGAAGCACTTGAGCCCGTTGATAATCGTGCCTCGAATACGGAGGGAGATAAGGTAGACTATTTGGGAGGACACTGGATGAATACGAGACTGATAAGCAAACATACAAATGAACAGAGATGTATGTAAGTCAGAGCAAATCTGATGAGTATGCCAAAAATTGGGAGAGTTATCGGTTTGGGAAGAGATTGACGCTACCGTCGGGCGAGAAGCCCGACAGCCCGATCCAGAACATGAAGCACTCCGTCGGCAGCATGGACGCTGAACGAGGGAGGCTGGCTCTGGATCGCGAGGTCAATCTCGTACACAAGGCACTCCCGGGCACTTCGGGAGATGAAGATGAAGCCCGAGAAATAGCACACCGGAGCAACGCTCCCAAGAGCAAAGCTCGCTTGAAGGGTAAATCAAAGAGACCCGCAAACACCACACAGGAGTGGAGTGTAGGTAAAAAGAGGAGGAGGTATGAATGGGACCCACCCCAGGGGTCTGGATAGGGTGCTCTGCACACAATAGCATTGACCAAGCCGAACCAATTCACGAAGCAGGAAATTATAACATAAACCGGTCTACACTGTGCGGTTAAGATAGCAGAGCTGAAAGGAACTCCTCCAGTGAGCCCCGGGGATCCTGGAGTGCCCTCCCAACCCACTTGCACAGATGATCGCCAAGCAGATCGTGCCAGACAATATCTATGCATTGAGAATTCAAATACACCCAGGTGTATCTGACAAATACATAGAAATGGCCAATCGGCATAGATATAAAAGGGTGGGAAGGCCTGAGCGACCTCCTGGTGAAAAAGGCCAAGCATGCACCCAGTTGCATGCCCAATATGAAGAATGGATAGGAAAATAGAGCCCCCGCACCCCGGGAACCACCCAGAAGCACAGCCGAGCTAACTACATAAAATTTATAAAAAGGGAGCACTCAGCGAACATCCACAGCCTCAAGATGGAGGATATAAGCTTCAAAATACGACAATAGTATGTTGGAATGATGAAAAGTGGCCTGCAGGACCCCTCAGCACTGCAAAGTGAGCCTGGAGAGCCTGGGATGAAAACATATACAGACGGTCCCTTACGGGCCGAAAGGACTTGGAACGGGACAAGTAGCCCAGATAGTCATAGGTGAATGTCGTCAGATACAGTCGAAAAACCGCCTGCGAGACGAGGCCGACCGCGGCGAGGTGGATGTCGCGAGCACAAGAAAAGATGTGACTTATGACCGAAGTCACAAGTCATATCCCCGAAGAGTCAGTCCGTCCTTCATCTTATCGTTTACCTTATCTTACGCTTATGCTAGCCGGAGCAAGCTCTCGTAGCGTCAGCTAGCACGCATGTAGGACAGAATATTATGCGTGGGACGGATGATTTCCCCCGTGACAAACCTGACGGAGGTTGACGGTTGATCATGACCGAACAGAGCAAAAATAATATCTCAAGATCATCTATTCGGATGCGGGGAATCGAACCCTGGTCTGTAACGCACATATTTGATTCCCATGTAAATCAACAGCAGCCTCCGTGCGCCATGCACTGCACCCGATGTCTACCTTTCAGCGCGCGCTGGCAAGGTGGGGTTCAAGCGAAGGAAGCTGCCGCGAAAAAGCTGCGGAAGCGTTGCGGGGAATCTTTCTGCGGTGGTTGCTAAAATAGTCTGGGGAGAATGCGGCATACATTTAAACCTCACAGGGCGGTCAGATCGTTAGGTCTATCCATCCCGGAGCTCGAGCAGAAAGATATGTAGTACATAATATCAAGTCCTCCCCGCATTCGCCCCGGCGCTTCTACGTAGCTTACGGATCTATAACTATGATTATACGGTGGAAAGGCGTAGCTGAGACTGTGATCGCAGATATAAGGTATACTACGCTGCGGACCGGTCTGTCTTGGGCTTAAAGATGTCAGGAAATACAACACTACTCTGAAAATCTGGCTGGCACACCTTGGAAGACATAGTAGTCTCCGAATCATCAGGCATGCGAGACATCTGGATGTCCACTGCATGGCCGCTGGAGGCGGAGACCCCTCGGCGCTCCCGTGTCCTCGCAGAGTTGAACATCAACCCTGACCCAATACTTGGTTCAAAGTCTTCAGCGGAGCGAAATCGTGCTCGCCCATTGAGCCTAACGTGTGGATTAGAAAATTTGGACGGTCGACGATATGTATTTACACCGCCAGCATCGAATTTGAGAACACTGTAAACATAGAATGAGCGCTGTGGTTGAGTCTCTGGGAGCGTCCTCTCACGCTTGGGCTGGATCAAATCAGGTATAACATAGACGACTATCCCAATAGATGATTTAGATGGACGGCAAGGAAATATAAGAGGACCAACAGTCGGTCCGCGTGAGGACCTGCCGGCGATCAGTGGGTACTCGTAGACAGCAGTGGGATTGGACTGACGAGAATGAGCTGGATTATGCCAGCTACGCTGAAGGGGATATGAATAATTAAGCGCATTGTTTCGGTCCACTGCCAAACCTAGTTAAAAGCGTCGTCTCTGCGTTGTTCGTTGGTAGGATCCATATTGGCACGTCGAAGGAAATGCCTACCCATGGTCCAGATCATCAGAGTATGCACGATCGTTCGCGTACTTAAATACCTTGAGTCAACCGTGAACTAATATCCTGGCTGTGAAACTCACCGATTGAAATGCCCAGCTTCCCGCCGAAGTTTCCAGAGGTAATAACACATGGAGAGTGCGATAACGATATCCCCTGCAGGACCGATGGTGGAGGCCATGATCAACACCCAATGTAGTTTGGATTCTATAATCGAGAGGCCCTCATTCTCTGTCCAAATCTTCGACATGAGGACAGTGTCGCAGGTAAATCGCAGAGCTGCAAACACGATGCACAGCAGGAAAACGTGCAAGCGCCCGGATAACACTCGGATTCGATTGCCATAGAAGAGCTAATGCGTACAAACCCTGAGTGCTTTTCTGCGAATAAGTTGAAATCTTTACCTGAACCAACGCGTCTGTCCCGCCCGAAAACACAAGCGTGCCAATGAGCGACGCCGGTGGGTTCATGATAAATGCATTGGGAGGCTGGCCGTAGCTTGTGATGGTTATCGAGTAAGTCTTGGTGAAATCAGAGCAGCGACTGAAAAACACAATTGAACTGACCGAATGTGAGCAGCATATGGTGTGCCCGAGCTCCAAGCACCTACGCAGTGAACTGGTCAGAAAGAAAATATGAAATGCTGGGATCGGCGAAGACCAGGTTATTGCGATCTAGTCGGCTGTAAGCGAAAGGCTTCATCAGGTGCTAGAAAATTCGGGGCGCACCGTGAGCCTGAGCAACTTTGAATCTTGCGGAAATTGAGCGTAATAATTGAATGTTTGTAGAGTCAGAATTCCGAACAGGAACGTGCCGACTACGGTACCAATCTCCACTGGCCCTAACACTCCGTCAAGAAAGGAAACCAGGGATGCTGAACTGGCTGCCATGGCCCGGGGAGGATGGGGAAGAGGAAGAGGGACGCGGATGGGATCTGGAAACACTCAGTATTTAAACTATACCATGGATATACGGATTTGGAAGTTAGATTTGATGAATCAGAGATACATGATGAGCATGGTACAGAAAATAACTGGAGAACTTTGAAAGAGCGCGATACTGGCCTGCGGTGCCTCAAGCGCAGTTTTGAGTCGGTCGAGCGGCAGAAGAGTCAAACGGTGGACCAAAATGATGCGTTAGTCGCCACCGCGAAGACCCAGCGTCAAGATCAGAAAATGGGATTCTAAGGAATGGGATGCTCCACACAGCCAACCAGCTCGAGGGGACTAAAAACAGGGATATAAGCACGGGGCGTCCACTGGATCGGCCCGGGGGTGCGCTCTCACGTACGAGGCCAAAGCATCACGCGCGCCCACTGTCCCTTGGATCTTGGCATTTGACTGGCTGGGTGTCAGGCGGGTTAGCGGATGTTGAGGACAATTCAGCGTATATGGTTCAACCTCCGTGAGCCGCACGGGTACCAGAGGCGGAACCGCTTACCTGTCGCGCCTAAGGGGCGGCATTTACTGCCCACGACGAGTCCGGGTCGTGAGTTCGGGAGGAGCTCTGCTGGCTTGATGGAACGCACGAGAGGGTATGATACTCTCTCCGCCGCTGAGTGCGCACGGCTGACTCACGGGCACGCATGGACATGCGTGATTTAGACGCAGGAGTGGAGCTGCTGCGAGAAATTTAATCCCACCAATTCATAAGGAAGCCA